CCTCCCTTTCATCACTGCAGAAACCCTTCTTCGACCGCAGCAACTGACCACCCTTCATCATCTCTTCGGCCCCTGATCAGCACAACGACCGCCATCTTAGACCCAGCGGCCGCTCAAGTCACCCCACCCCTGTTTCGATTTCAGCGATCAACACCACCACCATCTCGCGCCGGACAATAGCCACCTTCGCATCACCTTCAACAGTTATTCCGACCTGCTGCCAACTCAAGACTACATGGGACCTACGCGCGGACGGATTAACCAGGGAGCCTCAACTTCTACAGCGCGACGACGCAAAGGTGCCATCGAGCAAGAGCAACAACGTTAAGGACAACCACTGGACTCTATACACTACATGATGCAGTCTTTTCACGAGCGGCAGCTCCGACAGGATGCCTCCGCGCCGCCTCCTTCTGACTAGTGAGTTGGTATGTTTCCTACACCCATGCACTAATTTCTATCTAATTACATTGAGGACAATGTAGATCTTAAGCTTGGGGGTGTGGGTTGTTTATTCATTGGTTGCCTGTTTATAATTGCCTATTTTTTTATTTTAGTTTTTCTTTTACTTTGTTTCTCCTTTCAAAAAAAAAACAAAACAAAACAAAAACAAAATAGGGAAATGATCTCCTGATGATGACATGAATGTTTAACCTTTATCGATCATTGAACTAGATAGATGCTCATTAATTGGGACTTGACAACTTCTTATAACATCTTTCAATTGATTCTAAAATGCTTTTGATTGCAAGTTAACAATATGGGAGAACCGGACTTGAATTTTCTCTTGTCTTATAGGATTTAGCATTTATGTGGCTAGCGTCATAACCATTACTCTATTGAGACATGAGGGGAATTAAATTTGGTAGACAAATAAAACCCGTGAGATTTTGAGCCTGAAATTGGATGCATTACATATCCAATCATTATTTTCTTTTCTTGTGTGATATTCTCCAATGGTGTAGGATACTAGAACTTGCATTGAATCTCTTCAAGGCCACATATAACTTTTGTATGCATAAAAGGTGATTGAGGCACATTTTTGTTTATAGTCCACATTAGCCAAATAGCCTACCATGCACTATTGTTTCCTTTGATTAGCCCCCTTGAGCCTATGAGCCTAATTTTGTTGATTAAACCCACATATGTAACCTTCAAAATCCGATTGTATCCCTTACCCATTGTCTGAGCTAGTGGAGCACAATTTATGATATAACGGATTATGTGAGCAATGAAATGTAAGATTGGGGGTGTGAAAGTAGGTGTTTGCTTCTTTTATACAAAAAAAAAGAAAAAAAAAAGAAATGAAATTGAGAAAAAAAAAGATGAATAAAGTGTCCTCTTTATGGTGTATGTAATTGCGGGTGTCCCAGAGAGTGTCATACATATCGGGAGTATCTTTCTTCATACACTCCAACTGCTGGTTCGAGGGAAAATACTCCTGATATGGACAATCCCCCATCGGAAGACCAGAAACCTGATGCATCTCATGCAAGGCCAACCCTAACTCGCCACCGCTGGTCAGAAAGGTGTTACTGTCAGGCATGTAGGTCTCTAGCAATGCCAAGAAATGGCGGCAGCTGACCGGGATTCCGTACATGGTGGCTCGTATGGGTGCATACAATTCACTGCTCTTCAAATCCCTCTCCCAGCGCGCCAAGACAAAACTGGTCATGCGTTCCCACCACCCCTTGGCTAGTGAGGAAGCCCAACCATAGCATCTGTAATCTGGAGGAGGTAACCGTCTCCCAAGAAGAGCCAGACAGTTACTCACAGTAGAAGCAGCTGCTGACACCTCGCCTGAGATCGAGGATACTGCTATTGTTTGTGTTCTTATATGTAGGTATTGGCTCAAGATTGAAAGATTTGATGATCATTGGAAGTTTTACAAGAGTTTGAAGCAACAACAAGATTTTGAAGGCATGGTTCGTGAAGAAAATAGATGCACGAGTATGAAGAACTGGAATTTCGACCATGATGCAATTTGAATCAAGAAAAACTCAAAAGCTGAAAGTTGTAGATCTCTTCAACATGATTCCAATGCAACTTGAATCACCTCATTCCGAGGTCGGACGCAAAAGTTATAGCCAAAATACCGAAGACTGTACAGACAAGCACGAAATCAGCAAAACAGCCCCTACCACACCCTGGTGTGATGCAGACCACACCGGTGGCGCGGGAATTAGTTATTTTCCAGATTTTTGGGGACATAAATAGATGTTTTGACTTAGGATTTTGGAGATCTTTTTGTTATGTTCTTTTAGCCATCAACTAGCAACTATTCTAGGGTTCAAGTATTGAAGGAAGACATTAATCTCTTGTAGAAGATTGGATTGCAAGTTCTTATTTTGAAGATTTCAATTGAAAGACGGGTTAATTCTTTCCTCTCTTTGATTTATTTCTTCTTATGATTGATTTGCATAATTATTTGATGTCCTCTCTTATTCCAATCATGTGTGAGTAGATTTCTTGTCTAGGATTGGGAAAGAACCCAACTTTTTGGTGATTGATGATGAATTGATATAGGTTCTTGGTGAAAGTTTAAATCTTTGAACTTGATTTCTAGTATTTTAATTTTGTTGATTCCCTTGATCACCGTATTAGCAATCATAGGTAATTAATTGAAGGACTGAAAGGTGAAGATTAATACCGGATCTCTAGAAATTAAGCAGGGAGCTCGAACCACGAAAGTAGGCTAGATTCCTTGGGGATTTGATTTGGATTAGCATAAAGCTTAATGGGTTTAATTTAATCTTGATTCCACGAAAGTAGGTTAATTGAGATTGATTAGGCACGATCTTTAGACCTTGAAAGAGGCTTTAGATTAATTTAGGCTAATTCACCCTTTTTAGATTAAACCAACACCAAGAATTAAAATAATCCATCATTGAACACCTAAGTTGTGGTGATAACCCAATCCTAGTCCTTCATTATATTGAATTCCATCCGATTAGTTGTTTATTTTATTTCTTTTATTAAATCTCTTCTAATTTACTCATTAGTTTAGCTAGTCTAATAACGTAAAATTTGGTAATTAACCCTAGTCCCTGTGGGATCGACCTTGATAGCTACAACGAGTCCGTGCGCTTGCGGATTTGCCCGGGCAGAAGCAGTCAACACAGCAGCTTACTTGATCAACCGAGGTCCATCGGTTCCATTGGAGCACAGAATACCAGAAGAGGTATGGTGCGGAAAGGAGGTAACCCTCTTACATCTCAAAGTTTTCGGTTGTGTAGCTTATTTGCATATAAGTAATCAAGGCAGGAATGAGCCTGATCCCAAATCTAAGAAATGCACATTCATCGGGTATGGTGAAGACGAGTTCGGCTACCGCATTTGGGACAACGAAAACAAGAAGATGATCAAGAGTAGAGATGTGATATTCAACGAGAAGGTGATGTATAAGGACATGCACAAGACAGATTCCATATAACTAGAATATTATTTTACAGAGAAGGATTGTGGCATTTACTTCGGCCAATACTATGATTGTATACCTTAAGAGTGTCTACCTAAATTGATAAGCTGTCTATGAGTAGTCCACCAACATCTTAGGTTTCACTCTCCTCGGAAGCATCCACAAGAATTGAATCTCCTGAAATACCCAAGGTCATGAGTTAGAGGGAAAGGGTAGGTCCCCCTTAGCCACACTTGCAGGTTCGATACCCATGATTCAAAGAATTGCGGGAAAGTTCACTCGTCGACCCACCCCCACCCCCACCCCCACACCACACAAAAGTTACAATTCATCTTAAACTACTGATAGTTTATTTCATGCAGTTGTGTTAGTTTGGGGGTGGATTCCAACCTCCGTCCGGCGAGGAGCTCCGGCGAAGCTCCGACGAGCTTGAGAACCACGCAGGCGAGCGTGGACGTCGACTTAGGCGAAGTCGACGGCGAACTGCA